AATGAGTTGACATAATCGTGAAAAAAAAAAACAAAAATTTATGAGACATTTAAAATCATGAGAGTTATGGGTTGATGGTTGATCGTTGGTGTTCTGTTTGTGCCGTCTCTCTCTCTCTCTCTCTCTCTCTCTCTCTCTCTCTCTCTCTCTCTCTCTCTCTCTCTCTCTCTCTTCTTTTTTTTTGTTTTTTGTGTTCTGTGCCGTCTGTCTTCTTTCAGATGATCTAGCGTTTTCTCGCTATGGAGCTCAGTCATTTGCACCTATTCAGAAAGGCCATAGTGGTAAGTCTTTGTCAAGCTCTGTTCTCTCTCTCTCTCTCTCTCTCTCTCTCGCTGTGTGTATGTGTGTATGTGTGTATGTGTGTGTGTCTCTGTGTGCATGCCGCACCTCTGTTCTTATGGTGTGTAGTTGTCTGACTTGCTCTCTGTGTGCGTTTTGTATTTTCGTCTTGGATTTGTGGTTGGGGTATGTTTCTGTGTTTTTTTTTTTTTTAACGACTGGAGGAATCGGGTGTGTGGACTGGACTCGGAAAACAAAAATTAAAAAATTGCCGTAATTTTCTATGGATTGTACTTGCCAATCTTGTGTCTGTACTTCGCTTCACGCACTCTGCGTTTTTCTACGTGTGAGACTTCCGTGATTGCATTGCACTATGGTTCTGTACCGACCTCAATGTGTGTAGTGCATGAAGTGCCATGAACATTCGGAAAAAAAAAAAAAAAAAAGATTCTTTTTCTTTTTCTTTTTAATCATCTGTGAGAGGCCTGTCATTTCTTGGGCTCGTTGGGTGCTGACAAACGTTTGGTTGCTGGGATACGGCTTGTGGACGACGTGTCCCTGTTCATAGCCTACCGGAAAGGCGACAAAAAGTCGAGAGGGAAGGCTGAGAAGATCCGGAACAGGTTCGAAGAGTGTTATCCACGAAACCTGACGCTCAAAAAGACCGATGAGGGAAAGGAGTCTTGGGCCTTTTTAGGCTGTCAGTTGAAAGTCAGGCAGCATTTTCCCTACCTGGGGAGTCTGCAGGTAGTGAAAAATGAAGCTACTATTTGGACGGATAGGCCTGTGGTGACTCGGACCGGACAGGATTTCAAGTCCTGGTCTAGCCGCAGACAGAAGGTAGCGGCAATTACCGGGTCCTTACACAGACTGGACAGGAATACGTCAGAACCGACCGAGATCCCGGTCCAGGTGTTGCCGATGCGAAGGGAGTACCGGGCAAAGGGATTCCTGAATGAGTTTTTCGGGCGGGTTCAGGATGACTTCGCAAAAACGAGAGGAAACATCTGGAAATTGGCAGTAGTACTGATGCACTTGTCGTAGTTCTCCTGTATGAATTGTTTTGGCGGGTAGTGTAGGAGTTGTTTTGGCGGGCAACTTTTCTGATTTGGTTTGTAGGGAACTTGTCGAGGGCTGCGTCGTGTTTGGTTTTGTTTTTGTTTTTGCGTGTGTTTTTTCAGAGTTGGATGGTAGGAGCAAGGTAGTATATAGGTACCCCACGTAGAGGTATTCGTCCTCTTTGGCAACAAGTTTGGAACTGGTCGTCGACAGTGACCGACGGAACCAGCGTCATGGGAAGGTGGAAGATGGTAATGTTCTCGGGTTGAAGATAGGTGGAGAAGCTCAAAGATGAGAACAAGTAGCAATTCGCTCCTTGAGAACAATCAGACGAAGCTTTAACTACTTTTGTTGCCATTGTTAAATAAAGCCGTAACGGCGTGTTTTTCTTACGATGTGTGCATATCCATGCTGATCGTGATTGTTGACTGTCAGAATATACAAGCTGACTACGCACTCGTTAACCTGCGGGGAAGATTACCCCGTTGTCGGTGTTCGAGACCTTTTGAAGACATTGGACACAGGAGGAAGGAGTGAAGTTTTGAGTGGCGTGGACCGATGCGGATATGGCTACGGGCAGACCGGGGCAGTCAGTCAGGTTGCACAGGAGGCAATCAAGGAGATCAACAAAGCCAACCACCGAGGAGAGGCCCACCTATCTGCTAAGGTTGTGGGAAACCTGGGCACTACAAATTCGAGTGCTGGAAGTTCAGCCAGGGGCAGAGTGATCAACCACGCGGTGGAGGGTCTGGTTCTCCTAGTAGGCGATGGGAGAAGGGGTCATCGTTATCGTTATCGCAAGGGAATGCTCAAGGAGGAGAATCATCTGGAGCGATGAAGGAGCTTGTAACTCAGCTGCTCGCAAAAGAGGAGGCGAAAGCGGCAAGGAGGAAAGCGAAGGAAAAGAAAGAAAAGGAGGAGAAGGAGAAAAAACTGAAGGAGCAGCAAAGAAAGGAGGAAGAGGAGAAGAAAGAACTGGAGCGAAAGGAGAACGAACAGCGGCTGTCAAGGATTGTCAAGGAACAATTGGCGGAGTGGGGACCACCACTGAGAGCTGTTCCAAGAACCAGCAGGAGTGAAAGAGGGAGAAGCACGCATAGATGGCGGCCGCGAAGGATACCATACGTACCCGACGGATGGGCAATATCGGATGACGACGTTGAAGGCCTGAGGGAAAAAACGGCGGACCTCTGCTTACGTACTGAGAAGCGCAAGAGGGAGACAAGGGAAGAGGAGTCCTTGTCCACGCCACCATCGTTGGTGATGAATCACACACGAAGGAGAGGAAGACCGAAGGGCACCAACAAGAAAATGAAGACGGGATTGAAACCCGTAACGATGAAGGAACTTTGAAAGGAGTCCGATCCTACTAAGAAAGGCGCCATTGCGGGTGTCGAACCTGGAGCGAGAGCGAAATTTGTTGAAGATACGAAGGCCTACTTGGACGGGATGGACTACAAGCTGGTGCAGAAGATGTGCAAATTGGAGGGAATACCATACGTGAGAAAATCACAGGCGGTGGGTGCGTTGGCAGAGAAGAGAGCCATGTTGGCATACGATAGGGCAGAGAGCAAAGTATCCGAGGGCGAAAAGGCGAAGGAAAAACAAGACCCCACAAGCGAGAGCGACTCCGAAGAGTCGGATGAGTCAGCGTCGGAATGAGGTACACAAGAAGTGAGTAAGCTATGGAGATGGTGCAGTGAATTAATGAGAAAAAGAAGAGAGAACAAAGGGATCTGTCCTCGATTGGAGATTGACTTTAGGCTAACTGTCATCGGATTAGCGTTGCTCGGAAGTATTCCGTGGGCGAGAAAGTTTGTTAACGATTGGTTGTCAATTAGTGAGGGAAGTAGTACCTTCCTGGACAATCCGAAGTCATGCGTGTACGTGGCCATCTCACTTGTCTGTAAAGCCATTTACATCGACCGAACAGTAAGGGCCTTGAGCGTGAGGTGGGCGGAGCACGTTAATTGAAGCGGGCAGGATGCGGAGAGTACTGCAAATTTTCACCGATGGCTGAGGAAATTTGGGGCCGAGAATTATGTGATAATTCCTGTATGCATGTCCGTAATAGATGAGTTGCCGGTGATTGAAGAGTTTTATATCCGTAAGTGGTCACCTGGTCTTAATGTTTTTGGTGCAAAGTCAACGGGATCGAAATCGAGAAAGAAAAGAAAGGGACGAAAAAAACGGAAGAAGGAGAAAGAACGGTTAACACTGGAGGAGAGAGTAACGTCGAAGAAGACGCAGTCAAAGTTGGTTAGTTTCTGGGTAGAAAATGAGCCGAAGAAGACGGTAAGCATTGTGAACTTACTGAGCGAACAGCTGAAGTATGGGAATGTGTGTTTTTCGCTAGGTAGTACACAAGGAAATGCTTGGGCAGATACATGGAAGAAGGTTCGCCGATTGTTCGGGGAGACCGAAGTTCTTGTAGATGGGAATCCGAAGAAACTACGTAGTTGTAAGAAGCAGATTGAGAATAGAGGGGAATTGAAGATTTGGCAACTGAAGAAGTGGGACAAAGGGTGCAGGGGACAAAAGGCAGCACTGTTGGCGCTTTTGAAATTTCCGGAGAGGAGGAAGGAGGTGATGCGTTTTCCTTTGCGATTGCTAACGGATCTGATTGGGGCAACTAAAGAGTCCTCTAAAAAATCGACTCGCAGTATGTTGAGAAGAATTTTGTTCGGTGCTATAAAGCAAAAGTCGGGGGTGAATCTGTATAGCAAGTTAATTGTGAAATTGCGTTTTGACGATCGCGTTAACCTGAGTAGGGTGCGAAGACTGTGTGACGATAAGGTAGATCAGTTGGGTTTTCCGCCGTGTACTAGTGACATCTTGAAGCGTAAATCCCGAATTTGTTAGACTAAAAATCCAGCAGTAGGTGATTTACTACATAACCATCGGGAATATGCCTCCCGAGAGGTTGCAGCCTGTAATTGTCAAGGTTTTGACCTGCCCCGCGATGCGGGACACGTTAGATGTCGCCTGAGTGATCTGACGGAAATTAACCCCCTGATGGCTAATGCGAAGAATGTGTCACGATATGCTAAGGCATGAAGGGAGAGGAAGTTGAAACTGGAGATCGAGGAAGGGTTTCACGAGTTGGAAGCAAGGGAAAGAGACAAGCATCACGGTTAGGACAGATGAACCAGCCGAATGTTTGAACGAGCGGGTACAGATTGGAGGTGAACTGGAGGTGGAAGAGGTGTGGAGGGTGAAACGAAAGTTTGAAGGGTTGGTTTTTACCCCGGTTGACCGAAACCCGGGTGAGACGTGTGTTATGTGCCCTCTGCTTTACCACTAAGGGATGCAGACATTGTTTGTGAGAAATGAAGGGTTCGTGATAAAGAAACAAAGTGAGGAGGATTATTGGCAAGAGAGCTACGAGGAATATATTGAAGCAGGCCCGGGGCAACTAGGCAAATGGAAGAAGACGGAGGGAGCGAGGAAGAGTTATGTAATACCGAAACATAAGGATCTTACTTTGTTTCGCCCTATCTGCCCGACGTTTCGAGAGCCGTTAAACAGCACGAGCAAGAAGATAGCCAGAGCTCTGAAACTGATGCTGATGAAGATACCGGGAGATTGCCACTTCAATTTGCATGCGGTTTCAGGCCTGGCTGACCGACTGGAGAAGGCAAACAAGAAGTTCAGACGCATGGGGGCTAACAAAAATATACTCCCTGCATCTTACGATGTCAAGGATATGTTTAACCGTTTGCCGAGATTGTAGAGGCTGCTGATTGGGTGGCGAAATTGTTTTTGGACAAGGGAAAAAGGGTGATAAGGGTAAATCCGAGAGGGAAAGGAGCTAGTTTTGACTGCAAAGGAAAGGAGAAGTGGTGGGGGATGAGCAAGGTTCGTGAAGTTCGACCTGGAGCACATGGTAACGATGGCGACCGGACTGTTGATAAAACAAAGAGTTGGAGTACCAATGGGTAAAAGCACGAGTCCGCCACTCGCGTGCATCATGTGTGCATACGCTGAGTGGCGTTTCTTGGGCTCGTTGGGTGCTGACAAACGTTTGGTTGCTAGGATACGGCTTGTGGACGACGTGTCCCTGTTCATAGCCTACCGGAAAGGCGACAAAAAGTCGAGAGGGAAGGTTGAGAAGATCCGGAATAGGTTCGAAGAGTGTTATCCACGAAACGTGACGCTCAAAAAGACCGATGAGGGAAAGAAGTCTTGGGCCTTTTTAGGCTGTCAGTTGAAAGTCAGACAACATTTTCCCTTCCTGGCCTACCTGGGGAGTCTGCAGGTAGTGAAAAATGAAGCTACTATTTGGACGGATAGGCCTTTGGTGATTCGGACCGGCCAGGATTTCAAGTCCTGGTCTAGCTGCAGACAGAAGGTAGCGGCAATTACCGGGTCCTTACACAGACTGGACAAGAATACGACAGAACGGACCGAGATCCCAGTCCAGGTGTTGCTGATGCGAAGGGAGCACCGGGCAAAGGGATTCCCTAATGAGTTTTTCGGGGGGTTCTGGATGCCTTCGCAAAAACGAGAGGAAACATCTGGAAATTGGCAGTAGTACTGATGCACTTGTCGTAGTTCCCCTGTATGAATTGTTTTGGCGGGTAGTGTAGGAGTTGTTTTGGCGGGCAACTTTTCTGATTTGGTTTGTAGGTAACTTGCCGAGGACTGCGCCGTGTTTGGTTTTGTTTTTGTTTTTGCGTGTGTTTTTTCGGAGTTGGATGGTAGGAGCAAGGTAGTATATAGGTACCCCACGTAGATGTATTCGTCCTCCTTGGCAACGAGTTTGGAACTGGTCGTCGGCAATGACCGACGGAACCAGCGTCATGGGAAGGTGGAAGAGGGTAATGTTCTCGGGTTGAAGATAGGTGGAGAAGCTCAAAGATGAGAACACATAGCAATTCGCTCCTTGCGAACAATCGGACGAAGCTTTAACTACTTTTGTTGCCATTGTTAAATAAAGCCGTAACAACGTTTTTTTACTACGATGTGTGCATATCCATGCTGATCGTGATTGTTGACTGTCAGAATATACAAGCTGCCATTATTATTATTATTATTATTTAAATAATAGATTTTATTTATTTATTTATTTTTTAAACACAGGAAACCTAATGTCGTATGATCCAGGCACTTCGGCCTGGTTCATACGATGACTGCTTTTGAATTATAAAAAACGAAAACCGGGTCCGGCGTCCCTCAGATCATCGAAGAGGCTCAACAAAACGAACATAAGAAAAAAGTATGCAAAAATCCTAAGTAAGTACTAAGTAATGCCAACAACAAAATCCTCCATCTTCTGTTAAACACCAAACCCTACGTATCCGCCCTACCTCCCGGACGGCAGGGGTCTGGGCTCTCGGGCCCCCAACCGTAGACCCAGACCCCGCAAAGCCCACCTACCTCCTCGCGATTTAGAGTGGATCGCACCACCACCGACAGTCACCTACCAAAACTGCCAACTCCCACCATGATGGAAAATTCGCTAACCTGCGGAATACCCTACCACCCGCGCGGCAGGGGCCAAAGACCCTCCAGAACCCACCCTCCTCCTCGCGATTTAGGGTACACCACCCCTCTCATCTGTATTTCCCCTCGCAATGGAGTCCTCACCGCCCTCCATGGTGAAGCACCCGCGAAGTGACACTCTCCAATCCCAATAAAAAACAGGATGTCAGAAAAAATCCTAACCCCATGCAAGACCAATCCAACAACTTCTCCCCTGTGGGAAAGCCCTACCACCCGCGCGGCTAGGGTCAGAAGACCCTGCAAACCCACCCGCCTCCTCGCGATTTAGGGCAACCACTCCCTCAATCTGTGCCTACCCCCTATGAGACCTCACCGCCCACCATGACAAGGTCTGTGCGGGGCAGCACTCCCAAAACGTCTCAAGTAACCATAAAAGGAGCTATACCAACCTCTACAAACGAAAAACGAAAACGACAATCTACTATGATCCCTGATTTAAAATTAGCAAAATTCCACGAAAGGGATCAAAATTTCTTCATGCTACCAGTAGCAGAACTTCAAAATTGAAAAATGTTTGCCTAACTCGGCTAAACAAACACACTGATCCCATCAATTAAGAATCTTTTTTTTTTTTTTTTTTTTTTTTTTTTAAGACGAGTTCCATCTGTTGGTGGGGAGCAGCACCTGCTGGAAACCGGGTCCAGCGTCCCTGAAATACATCATGGCATTCAATTTGATTGGTTCATATGAATGAAGGAAAATGCGTATGATGGAAATGATGGTGATGGAAAAAATCGAATTGTACTATCTTAGCCGTTATGGCCTCCTAATCCTAGAACAACTCCTAGCTCTCCCTTACCATGATATTCCAACTCAGGGACAAGACCAACCTAACCAACGATTACCATTATAGCTGAACTCTTCTCACCACCTAGACTAACCCCACCCCATAGGTTGTCGAGGCAGCCCCCCCGGTTCGCCACTGGTTTGCTTTCCTCCCTCAGCTAACCCCTGATCTCTCTACAAGGCCTCCCACTCCTGCCCAATTGCAGGTTTCAGGGCTACGCCCCAGCTCCGGCCAGCGTCGTCCTGGCATCGGCGATCCAGGAGCATAGAACAAAGCAGCGCAGCAGTTATCAGTCCAGGTTTGACGATCTCTGAATTCCTATATCTCTAGTGAGGTAGACGACAGGGTGCCGCCTAAAATTATGAAGCACCAGAAGACTTGTTTTGAATTTTTGAAACTTCTGAAAAAACTTTTATCAAATCTAAAGTATGTGGATATATCAGCAACTCCGGCTTCCTAATCCGAGGGCAACTCCTAACCCTCCTTGTACCAGGACACTACTACTCAAAGACAATATCAACCAAACAACATCAACCATAGCTGACCTCTTCTCGCCACCGAGACTATCCCCGACCCCAGAGGGTGTCAAGGCGGCCCCCCCAATTCACCACAGGATTGTCTTCCTCCCTCGACAAACCCCAGATCTCTCTACAAGGCCTCACGGTCCTACCGTAGCAGGTTACAGGGCAACGCCCCAGCTCCGGCCAGCGTCGTTTTGGCATCGACAAATTAAGAGCATCGAACAGAGCAATTATACTGATGTCAGTCCAGGTGTAACCATCTCTGAGATCGAAGATCCTAATGAAGAAGAAAGTCAGATGCTGCTCTAACTCTCAGAAACCCAGAAAGCTGAATGTGACATGTAGTCACTTCGCAGAAAAAAATTTCCCCTATGCCACCACCCCTGTCCCACGCTGCCTCCGCCGAGGAGATTCACCTCGGCCCCAACCTGGAACAGATTCCCTCCCTTCCCTCTCTGCCAAGACAACCAATTCCCGCCTAGAGGTTACCTTCGCCCTCCCCTTTGTCCCTATCTGCCCCCGCCGAGCTTGAAGGCGACCAACTCTCCCACCCCGGCCCCAGACAAGGACAATCCCCAAATCTGCCCCACCGCCGACAGGGCAGCCACCTCCCACCTTGCAGCGCCCCTATAGAGTAAGGCTCCCCAACACCTCCCCCACTGATTCCCCAAAAATCCACACGTGACCCCAGAAACTCTAACCCGATGATATGATTGATGATGATCGTGATACGATGAAAATTCTCGGTTGATGGTAATAACGTTGAAGACGTTGATGATTTTTAGAAAAATGGATAACCAAAAACAGCTCCCAGCGGATGATAATACTGATGACGAGAATCAACTTCAGTTGGTAAAGATAACGATGAAGGTAAATGATGTTGATGATAATAATGATGACGATGGTGACTGATGACAAGAATCGACTTCAGATGGTAAAGATAACGATGAAGGTAATGATGATGATGAGGATGATATAGTGATGATGATGATGATGGTAATGATGATGATGATGATGGTGATGATAATGACAACAAATGATGATGGTGCTAACTCACACCTAAGATAATGAACTAATGATGATACTAATACCAATAGCGCCTTAAGATAGTAAACTACTGATGATGGTAGCACTGCTGAATCAAATAATGCTAATCGTGAAAAATGATGATGGTGATGAACAACGCCAGTAGCACCCTAAGATAGTAAACTATTAATGATGATAGCACTGTTGATGATGCTAACGTAAAAGATGATGATGATGACGAACTACACTAGCGGACTTACCTTGTTGCCGATAGTAGTAACAAAATCTACCTTGATGATGAGGACGAGTTGTACCCTGACGATGATGATGATGATGACAAGCAGCATCCTGATGATGATGACAAAACCCTCACCCTGTGGTGATGTCGAAGCACGCCCTGTTGATGATGATGGTGATAACTATGATGATGACGAGCAACACCCTGACGAGCAGCCTCCTGGTGATGATGACGAAACCCTTACCATGGTGGCGCTATCGAACTACACCCTATTGATGATGATGATGATGATTCCAAGCAGCTCCAGTGCAACGATGCCAGATGATGTCGTTGAAGAGGATGACAACCCATGCGCACTTCAGGTCCCAAGGGCTGACTCCGCTGTGCTCCACAGGCACGGACTAACCCAACGCCTCATGGCCCTTTGCCACGGGCAAAACCGCAGCGGCGATGGGGCAAAACGTGAAACCCCCGAGTTACCGTCGAGGGTCGGTCTATCCTCCACGTCAGCCAGTGACGTGGCCTAGACCAGTGCCTCCAGGCCCTGCGCGTGCGCTATGCGCTGGAATTGCCGGCTGGAAGATCACCACCTCCTGCCATCGCCCCGATATTGCGCTCCAGCTTAGAACTCCGCCGTGGTTGATGCCGGGGCGCAGCGCTCCCAGTAGCGCTGCGCCCCTATCGTTCGACCCAGCTAATTGTAATAAACAACAAAAGCACAATTACCGCTCAAGAGACTAAAATCAGCAAAAAAGAAAATACGAGAGCAGAATTAAAAAATCCTAACAACAAATAGTAATTCCACCTCCCCAAAACATCCACAAAGTAAAACTACAGCAAAGAACAAAACTAACGAATCGCACACCAAATTTGGAATAACGATTCCACATCCACTAAAACAACCAAAAAACGTACAACTCTAGTTATGAAAAACAAAGACAACAAAGATTTTTCTCTATCCTGACGAGGAAAAAGCTTGCCAGCAGATGCATTTTCTGGAGATGAAATCGCTGATTGGAACCGCACTGGAAGCAACCCTATCGCGTGGGAGTCGCCCAGACCTTCATAATAGCGAGGGGGACTAAGACCAGAGTCGCCCCGCGGCTTCAGCTCCGTTGCAGACTCTCCACAGCTCCGTATCTGAGACCAGGGAGCCATCGCCCCTGATCAAGTTTCATATATGGTATGTTGGCGGCGTGCAAACCCTGGCCCATGTACACTGTTGTCTCCCTCCTATCGCGAAAACACGGGGATTGCCGGTAACAGCCGACCAAGGTCAGTTATGGCCGATGGCTCGGTATCACCACCGTTAGACTACTATCCCACCCCACGCCCGCGCGTGCATTCTTACCCTAGCGTCTGCGCCACTCCGACAGCAAGTTCTAGCATGCAGGCAGTACTCGAATAGCGCTACTTGCGTTAGCGATCACCCGCTGTTCGCCGCCGCCTAGGGACATCCGTTAAAATTGGAACGATATAGAGAAGACTGGCATGGCCCCTGCGCAAGATGACACACATAAATCCAGAATAAAATATTCTGAATTGCCTGGGCCAGAAAGTCGACATGATATCTCAGATACCATCACTCCTATCTGTATTGTGTTTTTTTTTTTTTTTTTTTTTTTTTTTTTAATTTTAAGGATGATATCTCAAGGCCGACGCCCTTTAAAGAAATAAACATAACAATAAATAATAAAGGTCCGGAAAGGTATTTGAATAATTTCGAATAATAAATTAGTAATTGAATGATAACGAAGGCTGCGAACACCAATGCCAAAATTTATCCCACCTCCCCCGAAAAAAAAAAAAAAAAAAAGAAGGAAAAGACAGAGCTGATGTATGTGCGCAGTGGTCATGCGGCAACAAATATTATTTTTATTAGATTTTTAATATTCAATTGGAATTAGAATTTTTTGGCCTATTGACTCTGAATTTGAACCTTTTTTTTTTTTCGCAGCCAAAAGCCGAAAGCTAATGGGCCCCATATTCCAAATGGGCCTGGTCCTGGGGCCAAGTCCCAGTAGCAGCGTTGAGCTACCTCAACGCCTGAATCTGGACGTGTTTGTGGAGACTTGCAGTTCAGGAAACTCAACACCAATTCTGCACATCTGCGCAAAAGAGTCCACATTCAGGCGTTGAGGTAGGTTAACGCTGCTAGTGGGACTTGGCCCCTGTGCATTTTCTCATAAGGGACCCTGGGCCCAGTTGCATGACCTTTTCGTGCTGCTCCCCACGAATGGCTTGGAGCACTGCTTTTCTGGAAAAAAAAAACAAAAAAAAACGAGCTTGAACTTGAATTTTGAACTGACCTTTTCGATAGTTGCCGCCAGCCTTGGTCTTGTCGGAAGAGAGGCGGTTCAGTTCATAGGGTGTGCTGGTCAGAATAAGTAAAAAAAAAAAAAAAAAAAAAAAAAAAAAAAGGGTATGCTGGTCAGAAGGCAGCACTTGGCCGAAGATAATTTCATGATCTTGATTTTTCCAAGTTAAAAAATTCCCACCAAGCCCGACAAGCGGGTTTGCTATTGAGAATTGTTTAACTTACTATCTGTCTGTCTATGTTCACGTGGTGTGAACAGTCTGCAGTGGCTGCATGCATCACTTCACTTTCAAATTGTGTTATCTGCACCGATAATTAATCAAACTTACCCCCATGCCGGATAATTAAAATATGAAACTCCACAAAAGTTTAGGGGATTGTGGGGGTTGACAGGATTTCAGTGGACACATCCGACCTACCAAAGCTACCCCTTTCTAACCCCTCAAACGCCCCAAATTTTTAGAGGGGGTGTGAGAGGATTCCGTGTGAGTGCACTGTCCGGGGCAGAGCCCGGCCAGTCCGTCTGTTTTCAGGGGAAAAAAAAAAAAAAAAAGGAGTTTCCAAAGAAGGGCCCTCTTCTGCATCAAGTAAAAGAAAGTGAAGTTAAAAAAGAAAAGGAAAAAAAAAAGTGCAAGGAAAAAAGATAACTTTAAATAAGCAATGCGAATGACAGACACCAAATTGCAGCATTCCATAGAAATCCAGATCATAACTTTGCGCACGATCTGAGAGCAGATC